AGCGGGCTGTCAGCCATCATGGCTGGTTTCATTTGGATAGTGGCGATGGATACACACAGGGATTATTTTTGTTGAGACGGCACCAAAGCTAGGAATTAATCCCTCCATTAACTGGATTGTATTACTACTTCTCCCCCATGGCCCTGTTTCCTAAATAGAGGGTACTCTGGTGATGCATGGATGCCTGATGCATGCTGTGCTTAATGGTCATTAGCAGTACAACATGGTTACATAAAGAAGCTCATTCATTATCGATGACTGAACTGCAGAATTATCCAAACCAGTGTTGCGTGGATGGGTGTCAGTACAGCTCTACTCATCGATGATTTTGATTTGTGAGGGATCAAGGTCATGCGCAGAAATGTGCTTTTTACCAGTAGTAAGGACCTGTGATGCATTCATGGAACTGACAGAACTGCCTTGTAAAAATAAYTCATTGTGGCATCTCTTGAAAAGCACTAATTCACTGGAATTCTTCACCATAAAGTCTGTTTGCTGCCAGGTCTCAGTGGGACTACAAAAATCAAGCTTAATATGTTGCATTGGCGATCTCCTCACTGATTTTTTTTTTCATTTAAAGGGTCCAACATCTGTTGTGAGTCTACATCATCATTTTCCCCTTTCTACTTGTTGAATCTCTGCTCTCAAAAAAGCTCTTCCATACTTAACTTTCCTTTTACACCTATCAAAAACTCAGAGAACCAAAGAAAGATAATAACTCCAGTGGTCAAAATGATCCTACACACACACAATTGTACACATGTAAAGTCAACTGTTAATTCAACCTGGAGAGACTCATGAGAAAATTAGGAAGTTTATTGATATGACTGACATASTTTGGCACTCGGACCCCGGCAGAGGATGTGAGYGTTGTGAGATGCTGTRAGCTCAGGTGAGCTGCTTAAGATAAGGGGTAGGAGTCGTTCCCCGAAAGGATTGAAGAGGACACTTTTATCCACTGACTGTCAAACACTGAYTGGATGAGGCTGGGCTTGTGACGCGGTAGCTGGACGGAGCAGGTGAGGTTGATTAGTCTTTCAGGGTTRAACTTTCATCTAGACTMCATTTTTGTGAAACAGATAAARCTTTGAGGTAAAATTCGGAACAAAAGTGCATCCTAGGATACAAAAGGATTAGGCTAGAARCTGAAATGTCATAATTTTTAGCAAGTTTGCTGTTGTTTTACTCCTAAACAAACTGTAAACCCAAAAAGCAGACATACAAAAACAATGTATGGGTAAATCCTAATATTTGATTGGTTTAGATTTATATGAGAAGGGAGCTTTTATTAAACTGAACACAAGAATAAAAGTTGTCTTTAAACCTGATTTAAACTCCTGCAGAACCTGTGGGCAGAAACAAACCTGAGCACTTTCGGTGAGGTGTTTTGGTGAGAAATACTCCAGTTACCTAAAGTTAAACATAAGTAACAGTCAATAGATAATYGCTCACAAATTTCTTACAAATAAAATAAAATAAAGTCAATCTGAAGAGTCAGGACACTGCACTTAGAATTAAAAAGAAAACATATCAGATTGAAGATGGAAACAGGCAACTAATACTCGAGCTAAATATCAAGAAAATAAATATGGTCGTGTTCGTGCTTTTAGAACTACAAAAGTATTCATGTTTGTGTAAAGTCTATTTTAGTAAACTATACTTTTAAAGAGGAACATGAGGACTTCAAACCTGTGATGCATGAAAATACTTTGATGGGAGCCCTGGGGGCTATGAGTGTTTGTAAGAAAAGATGAGACGACCCACCTGAGACCCGTTCAGACCGACTGGTGAAAACATTACAAAGCATTAACAGCTCTGACCGGTGACCTTTTCTCAAATCAGTGATGAACAGGAGTTGACCCATGACCCTGAATCAATCACAGCACTAGTAGCTTTTTTCCTCCACACTGCTTTTTTTTGTTGGTTTGTTTGCAGATCATGGATTTATCATAAAACTATCAGATCCACAAAAATAAAATAAAAAGGTCTTGTTTTATAGTTTTAGTTTATGAATAGCTGTAAAAAAAAAGAGTAAGGAAAACACTGGAAACCTGAAGATGAAGTTGAGGAATTTATTAGAGAAGGGTGAATATAAAGGTATGCAGGGATTCTATTTTCAGAGCAAACCACAACTAGTCAAACCTCTCTGTCTATAATATACGCTACACAACTTCCAAACATGGTCATCATAGTTAGTGTTGAAATCATTAAATAAAAGGAATTTAAAAAAAAGGAAATACAATCAACCATAAATGGGCTTTGGTAAAAAATAAAATAAAATAAAGTAAAATCAAATCAAATCAAATTAAATTAAATTAAATTAAAACATCATATAGATTATTATTATATTATTATGAAGAAGGAAACTACTTGGATGTTGACACTTCTCAGCATCTTTAACATAAGTTATTCCTAGTGCTACAGGTTAACATTCAAATTTGGAAATAAACAAAAAATCAGGAGGGGTCATAGCAACACTGACATCTTCCAAATAGAATGACTCCTCTATTCATTTACGGTTTCCATTCAGACAGTTAACTGTGTTCACAAGCAGCCAGTCAGTAGCACATTAATGACATAGCTAAAATATTGACTGCCACATTAATTTTTTTTGTTATTTTTTTTGTAAATGCTGCTTTTCTCTTCTCTTCTGTTATTATTATTTTTTTCTTCCCATGTTTTCAGTTGTTTGCCGCATTTTGGCTCTCACRTTAAGCTACAATAAGATCAATAAATACCATTGGGTGTGTGGGTTTTTCTGTGAGCCGTGAGGGCCACGGTGTTCACAGGAGCCACAGTGAGGCAGTTTAATATGTACTGCAGTCCTCCTGACAGGTCACCAACACACACAGCAAACAGAGGTGGGTTAACACAATGTAAAAAGGGACTTTTTTCACTAACTTTTCACTGTCATATTTTTTTTTTTTTTTTACTTCTAGAAAGAGTCCATGGCCTTAAATTCACTGAGGGCCTGGACAGGGGAGATGTGTTTCTTCTGGGAGCCTCGTCTTACACGTGTCTGGCATTCCTCTGGCTTTTCCCTTTTTACCAAAGGCTTCTTCTCTGGAGCCTTCATGCGCCAAGACACCACTGGGGAGTTGACGGCAGCTGTTCCGTACACCTTCTGGTACTTGGTGGACGCTACATAAGATGCCTTCACAGTCAGCACCACTGCATTCATTAGGTTCTTGGCTGCTTGGATCAGAGAGGTGGCGCTATCCAACTAAAAGGGGGTAAGGACAAAGGAAAATGTCAAAAAGTGTGAACAGCAAGAAAAAGTGCAATTACTTTCTTGGCCTCAGCAAGAACATGTGAGCTACATGAAACGCCTTCGGGGCCGTGGCTACGACTCGCAATTAAGCAGGATAAAAACACGGCTCTCACTGTTTGACATCTTAATTTAGTAGTTCCTAATGAGCAGAAGCAGGGGTCAGGTGTATCTCTGTCTCCTTCTGTTTTGTTTGGCTGACATTTAAGGGTCGGCGGCCAGAAGGCCTCCTCCTACATCACACTGAGATGAGTCAACTGTTTCAATTTAATGAGTGCGGATTCCAGCTGGCCACCATGAAAAGGTTGAAATCTCAGCAGGACTTGCATATCTAATGCGAGGAAAACTATAATATTGCTGAGAAAACATGATGAATCAGCCCCGAGGATGGAGGAAAATCAAAGCATTAACAAAAAGTCAAGTTAGATTTGAAGTGGACAAACAACACATGTGAAAAGTTCAAAAAAGCAACTCAATAAAGACCCATTATCTCTCCTAATGAAATCTGTCATTGAAGGGTGCAAGAAGTTTCGAAACACTCATCATGAATCGAAAAATTAGGCAATACTTTTAAAAGAGCCTACACATTTTATAAACAAATGTGCACAAATCAATAATTCTGCAACATTGTCTGTGATGTATACTATGTGTATTTCTTGCAGTACTGACAAGCTCTTAATTGTGTTTTACACTTAACCAGACCTCTCAACTGCTTGTAAGTGATCACGGTTCACTGCAGCTTTTCTGCGCTCTCACAGGAATGACACACATCATGCAACAGGGTTCTGTACAGACACGAACGTGAGGAGTGMATGTTTAAAAACTGCTGCTTGAGGTCTGTCACGTCAAATGAAATGTGAGAATATTCTAAAGCCAGGTCAAACTGCCGTTTTCTGATCTAACTTTGGCTCTGATGTTCAACAGGATTTTCACTTTCACAAAGCACACTGACTTTGGGAAAACAACAAGTGTTTGAGTATTCCTTCCTTTTTTATTCTCAAGGGTCAGATTTTGGAGGTAGAGGTTTTTCACTTCATGAGGTTCACCTCCTACCAAACTGAATACACAAAATTATATAGTGTTTTATTTTATTTTGTTTTCTTTGCAACAATAAAGACAAAGGAGGCCAAACTTTTAACAAAAAGTCAAGAATTTCTCCAGCTTCCATTTTGGGGGATAAAATGATGAGATGGGACATTAATTGTAACATTTGGTCATAATGATCAAAATCACATTTGTACAAGTAAACATGCCTCTACGTGCTCTTCTACTGTAGCGACACTCAGTCAGTTAAACACAGTGCACAGGGGACAAATTTACCTAATTCACTAATATGCAAGTGGATTATATAAACTGATCAAAGCTGATGAGATGATAACTGTAGTAGATTATTACAAAACAGTTCAGCATGAACTCAGCTGGACGGTTGAAACAGACCTTAAAGCTGTTTGTTAAAGACAAAAGTTTAAGTTCTGGAATGACTTTGTCAAAGTCAAGACCTTAAAAAGCAGTAAATTTAACTGAACTCTAACAAGTCTGACTTCAAAAAGGGAATAATTTAAAACCAGGATTTTACTTTAAGTTTGTTTTTACAAAACCATAAACATTTGAACCATGTAGAACTAAACATTTAAATAAAAAAAGTACATACAGTAAATCGCTGAATCATTCTGATTGTACCAACTCATTTTCTCACCATAGATTAGATACATGACAGTCTTTGTTGTTTAACAGTCATTTGTTAATATAAATGTTATCTTATTAATAAAAACTGTTAAAATTGCTTCTCTTTGGAGTTTTCCTGATGATAAAAGCACAAAAAGCCTCCAAAAGTCATGTTGATGACTATCTTTCAATATATGGGATGTAGTAAAAAAGTTATTGTAAAATACTTACAAAATGTCTGAAATGGTTTGTTAATCTAGTTTAACATTAGCTTTGCATCTTCCAGAAATAAAAAAATAAGGAGCTTATTTTGTGTATTTTTTTTCTTTTGTTGGTAAAAACTGTATACACAAAAGCAAAAAAAAAAAAATGAAAATGAAAATGTGTATTGCCCTGTTTAGTCAAGCATATACTGAAAACTGAGACTGATTTATAAAATAAATGATTCATTGTACACCTTATTTTTGAAATGACAGTAATTTGGGCTGTTCAGCAATAAAAGTGGAATAAAACCAAGTGCCAATTAATTAAATATATTTTTATTTCATGGTTAATATTTTACCCAAATGAATTTTTTTTAAAACCAATTATTTTCTAAATGAACATTCTCATGCTACTATCTGATCATTTAAATACTTATTTCACCAAGCTCCGGTGAGTGAGTCAAACATCACCAGGACTAACATTATTAGTTATCATTTTGTTCTAGTGTCTGTGTGACTTCTTTTCTGAATAACTGTTGATGGTAACAAAACTCATAAAATAAGATTGTTTTTAGTAAGGCTGTTAGCAAACAGCGCAKGTGCATAAACACTGCAAAATGAATCTAATTATGATTTCACTTGGGTTGACTGTGTTTGTGTTTTGTAAAGGGCATTAAAGGGAGATTTCATAAGCATATCAATAACGGATTAAGTGAGACAGCTTTAAAGTATTATTTACAACAAAGTCTGGAAAATAGATATCTGAAAAGTTTTGCATGTCACTGATCAGTTTAGTTCAAGAAGTAATAATAGATATCTTAAGGCATAAAAAAGGAAAATAAAAGAGGTGGCAGCGCACGCTTTAGATAATATTACAAGATGATCTAATCACATTAGCTTAAATCACCATGAGCCATCATCTTATCTTCTGCACTCTGTCGTGACCTTGAGTTAAAAGGTTTGTCCATGAGCTCTGTAGAGCATAAAAGTGGTTCGAGAAGGATCAGGTCTAGTGACTCTGTGATAAAAATGGATCTGGAGCATTGTTGATGTTGGAAGAAGGGCATGTGCTGTTTTCTAATGACATACTTACACCAGACACAATGAGCTCTCCACCCAGATTCTGCACCTCGGCTTTCACCTTGCTGCAGATGTTGAGCTGATGACAGTACAGGGCAATTCTCTGCAGGTAGGCTAGCAGATCCTGCTTACAGGCAGAGTCTGGGCACTAAAGCAGGGAAAAGGAGAACAAAGACAAACTCATTAAACCACACAGATAAAGACAATAAATTGAAACACATTGTGAGGTTCTTGAGAGAAAACGGTCTACTTGTTACAAACATAATGTGAAAAGCTGGATACAAATATTTCACAGCACAATTTCACTCAAACTTGCAGGAGAAAGATAAATGGGTTTCTACATTAATACAATTTGTCAGCATGTTACAGAGCACTTGCACGGTATTAAAAGATGGACTGTTTCTCAAAGATTTAAAGGCACAGTGTGTAGGATTTGTTGTTTTCAGCGACATCTGGTGGTTGAGTGGTCGAATCATCCTCCC